ACTTCCGCACTACCTGCTGCAAGGATTATTTTGTGCGTCCTCTGTCGAAGTAGGTAACTGAGGAGGGGAGCAGACTCCTACTAACGAATTGTTACTCTCCTCGATCACTTGACCACTTATCGGTTTCTGGGTCATGGAGGAGGACGAAGGAGTCAAGGAGAGGACCAACATTTTCCAAATGAGAATCTCCCATAGAGTACTGAAATGCTTACATTTCCTTGGCTAATGACAAAGCAAGAAATGGAGAACAATGCCTGAAAGGTTTTGCTCAATCAACTATTAAAAATAAAGGGGCACTATTTTGTAGATTTTGGTTACACTGAAGTAATGTAGAAAATGCCTATCAAGTACATATGCCTATACTTTGTTATATATTTCACTACTTTCAATACCAAATGATTATTCATACTCACACACAATTCAATAGTTAAACATAACTTGTCCCTTGAACTAGGCCTAAAGATACTGTCTTGATTTATCCAACCGCTCCCCATGAGGAATTTGATGTACATACCTTTACAGATAAAGACAATGTCTATTACTGAAAAATAAACTTTTCCTCTTTACCAAAGGTGAGAGAAAAGCATGAATTATAATATTAAAATGTGAATTCCTGTGGACTTCGGATTGTGGTCACCTTTTACAATGATAATCTCTGGAAATAGTTCAATACTTACAGTCTAGATTTGTGTAACTTATCCATTAGGCTAAATATTAATGCACAATGCATGTAAATCATGCCCCCCCCCAAAAAAGATCTATATATTGTGAGTCAGGTAACAGTGAATGACGATCCCATGCAGACCCTGGTCCTGCAGCTCTGTAGCCACGCTCACAACCTTGTTCAGCCCAGGAGACCACCAATCAACTGCTCACCACATTCAGCAAAGTGTAGAACAATATTAACACTAACACTAGATATTCAAGTTGGATTTTTTATAACCCTGGAATTACTTGAAATAAATTGTAGCTTACTCGAACACTGACATGTTTAAATCCCTTTGTTGATACAAACAAATATAATGACTGTTAACTTGAATGGCATAAATCCGGATTTTAAACCTTAAATTAAACCAGAAAACAAGTTAAAATATCAAACAAAGATTTAAACAAAAATGTTGACTATATTGGTGGTTTGGATGACAGAATGTCACTTCCTTCACATAAACAGTACAATAAAAAAGAAAATATGTCTAGACTTCTTGGCTGCTTTGAAATAATCATGGAGACAAATTGTTAAGAACAGCTTTACATTCTCTGGTGCTACAATTCATACCAAAACCAGTTCTAACTAAATATGATTAAATACTCTCTTCTTAATAGCCTATGAGTTCCTGATGAGCGACCTTGTCTGTTCAACTGATTGAAGACGGTTGATTAATATACTACATGTGTGAGCCCCTGGATTCACCCTCTGAATGGCACACATACACAATGCATGTCTCAATTGTTTCAAGGCTTAACAATCTTTAACCTGTCTCCTCCGCTTCATCTACACTGATGAAGTCGGAAGTTTACATACACCTTAGCCAAATACATTTAAACTCAGTTTTTCACAATTCCTGATATTTAATCCTAGTAAAAATTCCCTGTCTTAGGTCAGTTAGGATCACCACTTTATTTTAAGAATGTGAAATGTCAGAATAATTATAGAGATAATTATTTATTTCAGCTCAGAAGTTTACATACACTCAATTAGTAATTGATAGCATTGCCTTTAAATTGTTTAACTTGGGTCAAACATTTCGGGTAGCCTTCCACAAGCTTCCCACAATAAGTTGGGTGAATTTTGGCCCATTCCTCCTGACAGAGCTGGTGTAACTGAGTCAGGTTTGTAGGCCTCCTTGCTCGCACACGCTTTTTCAGTTCTGCCCTCACATTTTCTATTGGATTGAGGTCAGGACTTTGTGATGGCCACTCCAATACCTTGACTTTGTTGTCCTTAAGCCATTTTGGCACAACTTTGGAAGTATGCTTGGGTCATTGTCCAAGACCCATTTGCGACCAAGCTTTAACTTCCTGACTGATGTCTTGCTTCAATATATCCACATAATTTTCCTTCCTCATGATGCCATCTATTTTGTGAAGTGCACCAGTCCCTCCTGCAGCAAAGCACACCCACAGCATGATGCTGCCACCCCCGTGGTTCACGGTTGGGATGGTGTTCTTCGGCTTGCAAGGCACCCTCTTTTTCCTCCAAACATAACAGTGTCATTATGGCCAAACAGTTTTATTTTTGTTTCATCAGACCAGAGGACATTTCTCCAAAAAGTACGTTCTTTGTCCCCATGTGCAGTTGCAAACCGTAGTCTGGCTTTTTTATGGCGGTTTTGGAGCAGTAGCTTCTTCCTTGCTGAACGGCCTTTCAGGTTATGTCGATATAGGACTCTTTTTTACTGTGGATATAGATACTTTTGTACCTGTTTCCTCCAGCATCTTCACAAGGTCCTTTGCTGTTGTTCTGGGATTGATTTGCACTTTTCGCACCAAAGTACATTCATCTCTAGGAGACAGAACGTGTCTCCTTCCTGAGCGGTATGATGGCTGCATGGTCCCATGGTGTTTATAATTGCGTACTATTGTTTGTACAGATGAACGTGGTACCTTCAGGCGTTTGGAAATTGCTCCCAAGGATGAACCAGACTTGTGGAGGTCTACAATTTTCTTCTGAGGTGTTGGCTGATTTCTTTAGATTTTCCCATGATGTCAAGCAAAGAGGCACTGAGTTTGAAGGTAGGCCTTGAAATACATCCACAGGTACACCTCCAATTGACTCAAATGATGTCAATTAGCCTATCAGAAGCTTCTAAAGCCATGACATCATTTTCTGGAATTTTCTAAGCTGTTCAAAGGCACAGTCAACTTAGTGTATGTAAACTTCTGACCCACTGGAATTGTGATACAGTGAATTATAAGTGAAATAATCTGTCTAAACAATTGTTAGAAAAATTACTTGTGTCATGTACAAAGTAGATGTTCTAACCGACTTGCCAAAACTATAGTTTGTTAACAAGAAATTTGTGGAGTGGTTGAAAAATGAGTTTTAATGACTCCAACATAATTGTATGTAAACTTCCGACTTTAACTGTACTTATAAAGTCGGTAAAACAGTATGTAAACATTATTAAAGTGACCAGTGATCAATGACTCTATGTACATAGGGCAGCAGTCTTTAAGGTGCAGGGTAGAGTATTGGGTGGTAGCCGGCTAGTAACCGTGACTAAGGTTCAGGGCAGGGTACTGGGTGGAGACCGACTAGTGATGACTGTTTAAAACTCTGTAAGAGTCTATTGACGTACCCGTGCGTCAATCTAAGTAACATATAATAAATCCCCATCAAAATCCATCAGTTTAGAGATATCAGGTTTTTTGCACGGGCTGCGTCTCAATCCACCACCTCTGCCTATGTCGGCCTTCTGCATCTGCATCTGTAGCGTCTGAACCGTTTGGCTTACAAACTGTTATGCACAGGGGAGACTCTCACGAACAAGATGGTGTTCTCCGTTTTGCTCTACGACCCCCACAAGTGTCACGAGACTCTGAAGATAAATCTGTCCAATGCGTTTCTATGAGATTTTCTGTTTTACCTAAACTTGTCGCCTGCCTTCACGCCTTTGGGAAAACGACTCCTATAGTTAGGGCGGAGACATGAGCATCTCGTCATATAGGCTACAGATCTCTGTTTGCAGTCACCTTGCGCTTTTGACAAGACATCATAAGGATGTGGTACTGGTTATGTTAATGCAGCTTTCAAAACGTCAGTGATCTTCAGGTCGGAAAATCGGAGCTCTAGAAAGAGGCCCGAGTTCCCGAGTTGGAATTCGGAGTTGGATGACTGTTCAAATCCAGTTTTTCCAGTCGTTGCTCGTTTTTTCCAGAGTTCCCAGTTGTTTTGAACGCACAGAAGTTGGAAATCTGAGATTTCCGAGTTCCCAGTTGTTTTGAACGCAGCATAAACACTTCTCCAATCGATGTTGAGATCAGACATTCTACGCAGCGCAAGGCGAGACATAGGCCAATGTAATATCATCAACCAATCACATTTGGTAAAACCTTTCGGTCTTAATTCCAGCTAAACTTGGAGTACAGTTAACTAGGTTACTTACAGAAAGCGTGCTTTTGACGAAGAGCTACAAAAGAAAGTAGGCCTAAATAGCCGTATTAGACTGAAAATATATAAAGTGATTAGACTGAAAAGATATAAGATGATTTTGTCAAACGGGTGAGGCTCTCCATGCTCATTAGTTGCTCATTCAACATATTTGCTGCTACTTCATGCAATTCGTTTTCCAAAGCAACCCTTCCTAACTGTTTTACACTCCCTGAGACCAACCAGAAATGTTTCCATGGCCAAGTATTCCCAGATTTTCATTAAACACATTTGGTATCTCGTTTCTGCATGACCAAATTGTGCTTGAGGAAAAGGAGTATAGACAGTGCTTCTATTAGCCTAGTTCCTTCCGTGCACCAGATGGTTTTTTTTGTGGGAGGGGGGGAGCAGTGTTGCCAATTTAGTGACTTTGTCGCTATATTTAGCGAGTATTCAGACCCCTCTAGCAACACATTTTCAAAAAAGCGACTAGCGACAAATCTAGCGACTGTTTCTGGTGTTATTGGAGACTCTGACGTGAAAGCACGTACGTTTACTCTTCTCAATGAGCAGCGGGTTCTGCTGTGGGGGTGGGGGTGGGGGTGGGTGCCCCACCCGTGGGGGTGGGGGTGGGGGTGGGGGTGGGTGCCCCACCCCTTTCCCAAAGCACTCACAGGTGGCCCAGTCCACACTTTTTGTCTCCCACGACTTTATTCCTCTCTCCTACAGCATCTATCACAATTACATGCACATGGCAAATTATGCAAATTAGGTGATGACGTAATTTAGCGACTTTTAGGACAGCCAATAGCTACTTTCCTTACTGAGTTGGCAACAGTAAGGAAAGTAGCTACTGACATCCCCCCCAACAAGGGTCAGTTTTTACGCAACCTGGCAACGCTTGGCATCCTGGGAGTGGCGGTTGATTCAATATGGCGGCAGCAAAGAGAGGAAAGAACAACTCAGGATTTTTGGGGATTAATGAAAGTATCCTTTTACTTGGTCTCCATAAAAGACAGCCCCCCCCGCATAAGAAAACGATGATGGTATGATATGTTTTTACTAACAAGTCGGGTGTTGTGTGTCGGTGGACTTGGTAGGTAACTTAGATAGCTAGCTAACGTTAGTTAGCTGTTATGCATAAACACTACGCTAACGTTAGCTAGTCTAGTTAACTAACTAGATGTAATTAGCTAACTAACTAGTTGTGGAGCCTTGTTAGCTAACGTTAACTAGCTATCAAAGGGTTTCTCACCTGGCTGGAAAACTATGATAGCTAGCTAAGTTAGTTTGTTAGCTAAGGCCGTGGATGTGAAATACCTTGTTAGCAAGCTTACTTACATTATTGTAACTAGTTAACGTTAGCCGCGTTCTCATGGGAAGTTAGCTAGTTAACGTAACTTGTTAAAAGCAAGCCTTGCTAGGTAGCTGGCTATAAAGTTGATGAACCCAGTTCAGTGGCTTGTTTTAGCCAATTTCAACATGCATATTTTTATTGAAGTGAGGGTCTTGCTAGAGACCACCAAATATGTTTTCTTAATTCAATTCACACAGCACCAGATGAAGATCAACCTATGGTGTTCATTCCGGGTGAGGACATCATTAGACTTCTCAAAGCCATTTGTGACATTGTTCTGACCACTTTTCATATTGCTGGCTGCTACCACTACTTTATTTATCACCATGTCTCTCACTTTCTCAGGAGTAAGCAGAGAGGGACACTTGCGGACAGCTTTTAAGTCAGTATCAGGCACCAGCAGCAGTGAGAGAAAGGTGAAGATAGGGACCAAGTATGGCAGTGAGATCCGAGGAGAGGCTCCTCTGAGCCGGGGCAATAAGAAGCAAGGCCAGCCTCTTTCCCTGTCCTCTGTCTCGGAGTCCTCAATGGGTAGAGGGCAGCTCCAGTCCACCCCTGCATCTACAGTCCCACCCCCCAGCCCAGCCACTCAGCAGCGTCTCCTCACCACCCCACAGGTAGGTCTGCCAAGAAGGACCACTCCATCAACACCAACTAGTTACTAGCTAATAACCTCTCCAGTCGGACAGGTGCAGATGCAAATGAAAACACAAACAGCCTGGGTACTACACAGCTGTTTCTTCATTCAACATGGATGTGACTTTCCCTGATTAATCAGGAATTTCTGATTGATTCTAGTCTGCATTTATACATAATTGAAATGTACTTAGGCCTACACCCAAGCCCACCCTCTTTTCTCACAAGGTAATACATGTAGTGTATGTCTTTTGCTCAGGCACTCTCTGAGGTGACCCAGGCTAAGAGCAGGGCCTCTCTGAAGGACCTCTGTCCCGAGGATAAGCGGCGCATAGCCAACCTCATCCAGGAGCTGGCCAGGTAACTGCTCATCCAACATAAGAGTGTGTGTGTGTTTGGCAGGGATTTGGGATTCTTTGGTGTGTGGGGATTTTCTCAATAATAAAGTTAATTTACACAGTCTGATATAATTCCTGACCCCACCTCTTCTTACCCAGAGTGAGTGAGGAGAAGGAGGAGTCGGTACAGAGGCTGAGGGACGAACAGGAGACCTTTGAGCGCACAATTCTACAGCTGGAGCAGCAGAACCAGCTCATTGTACAGGAGAGAGAGAGTATCCTTTTCTCCATGGATGCACACGCATGGATAAACACACACACATACTGAGGGCGTATCCCACTGACATTGTCTGTCTGAAGTATCCTCAAACCCAGGCCTTGAGGGCTGCCGTGCCTGCTGGTGTTTTCTTGCTTTCCCACCTGTGTCAGTCAATGATTCAGAAGACAGCCATGAGTACTTGCAGACACTGCAGCCCCACTCTGCCACTGAAGAATTTAAGGCTCTTCCTATATTCAGGCAGCAGGGGGTAGCATTGCCTAGGGCTTGATATCACCACTGCCGACCTCAATGGTCTGACAGATACTCCATGAGCGTTATAACATGCACACGTACCTTCATTCCCCCTTGCTTTTTCACGATTTGCTTCTCGGCCACATCTTGACATTTAATATGACATTTGCACTCTGTTTGAGATCACTGTGGATTACATTCAGTGTTTGAAACCGTTGCCGTCTATGACGTTTTACCTTTTGGGACTGTGGCATTTGCTCTGGTCTCATGTTTGGGTAATCTTGTTCTTTTTCATGCACTGAATTCTGTCATATCTTACCTTTTTCTGGCATGTGAAAGGCTTTCAGATGCAGTGCCACCAGTTAATTCTAAACAAGCTAACACTGTCAGGCTCAGTCTCTTGGCATGACCTGGAAACTGTCCTGTAATTACAGCAGCATCCCAGAATGACACTGTTTCCTCCACTTTTGCATCCCACCCCTCCTGACGTCCTCTTTAACGATTCCGCTCAGGTCAAACCGACGTGGGGAGAGATGTCAATTTAGGTGGGGAAACACAGCAAAATATGAAGAGTAATCGTCGGCTGGTAAATTGCACAATTGGCAGCGGAGCTGGGAAATTAGGAAAGCACAACTCAATTAAAGGCACTTTGGCTGGGAGAACTGGCATTTATACTAAACTTCCAAACTCCATTAAAATAGAATTTGAGCTGAAAAACTCTTTGATTAAAGCACCTCGAGGGGATAACCAGTCTTTAAAGCGCACACACACAGAGTCGTAAAGAGACTTCTGAGACGTAGGGTTCCAGACGCGTCTTTTAAGGTTAAGGAGACACCAAAGGCAAACGGGCTAAAGGGAGACTTGTAAAGTCTAATTCCATTACACCCTCTGCCTCACCTTCAGTCTTATCTACCAAGAGCCAGGTTATCAAGGGGAGAATTTATATCTCCGTCTAAAGGCCCGAGATGAGAGAGAAGCGTTCTTGTTGAAATGTTGTCTGTCAGGACCACTTTGGCGCTCAAGTGCTGAATGAAATGTACGATTTTAGTAAGTCTTTGGTTATTTCTCCTTGGCATGTTGTTTTGGGGAGGTTAAAGGCTAGATGTCATTGCTGAGTCGGTGCTTCACAAATCACATACATTTTTGTATTAACCTTACAAGTCAGTCAGTCTGACTGTTATACCACTGCTGTGGTTGAAATAAGAAGTGGCTCTACCTTCCCCCCTTAGGCAATGGATAAAAGGCTAAACTTTGAGTTGACTTTGTTCTCATTGTATTTATGTTAGACCTTTAATACCATCAAGAGACAAAGTAAACTTTGAGCTATAGCGTTGTTTGTTTGCAAGTCTGATGCAGCTATTTATTTGGTTGGTTGATTGTAAACTGATTTGTCCTCTCCAGCAACCTAAAGTTATGCTAACTGTCCTCTTCCATCAATTCTTCATCACCAGGCCCTAAACGCATACACACACACACTGAAAGAGAGAGACTGCACACACACACACACATTCACACACCCAGTCGATTTGGCACAGAGCTCATAAGGCAGGTTGTAAAATATTCCTCTCCTGCGCAAATTTGTTCCACCTTGAAGTGGAATTCATTATTTCATTTGGGCATGGCCTGACAGGGCGAGTGAATCATTTTGACAGGCACTGTCTGAAGCCTCGAATGCAAACTCTTGATTTTGTATATTTTTGGATTAAGGGGCGTAGAAAGCCATTGCTATTGCTTTGATTGAAGAGGGCGTGCGTTCTGATTGGCTCATGGCCAAGACTCAGAGAAGCGGTTTTACTGTTTTCGGTGTGGGAAGAGATCCTTATCAATTGTGCTTCAGTTGCCCCTAGGTTACCAGGCGTTGAGCGTCGAGGCTGCTTCGACCCATCAATGTTTTTAACGTAGGTGTGTTAACGCGCCCGCACTCTCTCTATCAGAACATTCACATCCTATAGCCAGGTTAGGTGGTTGTGATGACTGTTGGTTGGAGCATGATTTGTGTGGGTTACTCTGACTGGTCGCGTGTACTTTGAATAAAAGTGATGATAACCCAGAGGATATTATAGTACCTTACATTAAAGGGATAGTTCATCCAAATTACGCTTTGGTTTCCTTACCCAGTTTCCTTAGCAGTCTATGGACAAGGTATGACAGCAATCCATGCTTTGGTTTAGTTTCCAAATGTTAACGTCTTAGCATTTATGTCACAAATCCCGTTCAAGTCAATGGACCGATATTGGCATTTTTCGCGCTTCATGTTCAAATCGTCTATACGTGACTTGAGCTTCACGGTAAAACTTTAGAATGATTTGGACATGATAGTTTAAAAAATGCTAATATCGGTCCCATGACTTGAATGGGATTTGTGCCACAAATGCTAAAACATTTGGAAACAGTGCCAGGGAAACTAAACCAAAACATCGATTGCTGTCACACCTTTTCCATAGACTGCTTACAGGGTAAGGAAACCAATATGGCATTTTTTTATTTGGGTGAACTTGCCCCATAATCCATTGACATGGAAATTGACCCTGAAGTGTTTGGTCAGTTCTGTCTAATTTTTGAAAGGCATTTTGTCATAACCTGACTTCAGTCATCATGACTCTCCGTGATTGTGCTATGACGTAATGACAGCCTTATGCAGACAGAAGGTTCAGGTAAAGTGTTACCAGTTGAGTGTTTATGAAAGAAGCCTTTCTCTTCCCATGTGCCGTTTCATTTCCCAGGCTTGATTGAACTCATCCGACACCAAAGTGTTTTCTCCTAGCGTATCCTTCCACTGACTGTTACTTCATTATGGCTTCACTTTGAAAATGTTCATTTGCTCCCAAATCGGGGACTTTTAAAGGTGATGTGTTGAGAAGCTCATCAGCCTGGGGCTATTGCCCATCCATAAAATGATATGGCCTGCAGCAGGGAGGTTTATGGGTATTGGTTGGTAGGAGTGTGTTCAGGACTTTGTGTACCCATCTTGAGGGGTGTTTGTGTGTTGGTGACTAGAGGTGGTAATGTGTTATTGTTGGTTAAATGCAAATTCGCTGTGGGTCTACCTATATGTGATCCAATGTTTTGATACTAATGTAGGGGTTGCAATGGAAGTATTTATCTACCTCACTCACTCAGCCCGGTTGTGTGTGTTAGTGTTTGTGTACGAGCGGTGCCGCCACTCATTAGCAGGCCCCTCATGCTCAGCAGTGGTTCTGCTCCAGATGAGCGCACTCTTGTCTGGCATTCAGCCTGGCACCCAGATCTGGCATCACGGCCCAGCTCTGCTCAGGCTGGCCCGACCCAGATGGAGAAGTCTGGAAAGTGCTACCCGCTCCACAACATTTTTATCATGCTCTTTCTTTTCAGTTTTTCTTTCTCAACATTTGAGTTGAAACTCAGTTCTCTTTTACTTTGCTGGCCTAATGAAGGGGTGGTGGGTGGGATGTTCTTTTGGGGTTATATGTTATGTGACATGTCTGCAAAATGTAAATAAAAATGTATCAAAAATAAGGAAGGAAATGGAGACGAATATGACCCTTAACCCCAGCCCCCTGTGGCCTAGGCCTACAGCAGCAGTATCGGGAGTGCCAGGAACTGCTGGGTCTCTACCAGCAGTACCTCTCTCAGCAGCAGGAGAAACTCAACCAGTCCATTGCCCAGCTCAGCCACGCCCGTAACTCCCACAGCAAGGTACTCACTCTGTATGTGTGTCAATGCCTGCAACATGCGAAATACGAGATTGTGATACAGATGCGTGTCTGAGAGATGGCGATAGTGTGAATGTGTGTGAAAGAGCTTATTTGTGTGCATGTGTGTATGCCCGTCATCTTCCCCAGTGAGCCATCTCCAAACAACAGCGCTGTACACCATCAATCACAACACCCCCAACTGGGAGAGATGCACATACACTCACACAATTTCTTTTAGAAGGACCCATCCTAAGACCTAGACAGCACATCAAGTGTCACAACAGCTAAGGAAAAGTCCACTATGACCGCATACAGTAGCACAAACCAGTTGTATTTCTCAAGGTAATCATTTAGACAACTTCGTCATCCTCCGTGGCCTACAGTGGGCTGAGTAATGCGTGTTTGCGTGCTCTGTGACTGCACGCTGAATTAGTCAGTCTCTCTCTTGTCTTGCTGAAGGTGGGCACTTCTTTTCTCTTCTTTACTGTAAGGGTTTATCTTTTTCGCTTAAGCGACCTTGGTTTCCCTGTGCTCAGCACTTTTTATTCAGAATCTCTTGCCCAAACCCAATTGGAGTGAAAGAGTTACCATACGTCTTAGTTCTGCGTTGTATCGGTGTCGAGTCTATCTTGGCTTAACCATTGTGCTCTCACAGAAAAGTTAAAATGGGTAAGGGAAGGAGTGATGATATCAGAGAGGGGTTACTAATCCCAAATCGACCCCTTACGCTTACCTCTTAAACACTTGTGGAGATTGGAGACGAATACATGACAAGTTTCAGATTTTATTGATTCCTACATAGCAGTTAATACAGGCTGAAATCCAGGTGCATAAGATTAAATAGTAACATTGAATAATATATTTACAATGGATACAAATAGAAAGGTGTATTTGACTGGGTGGCTCTCTTGTCTCCACAGGCCCCCAGCAGTGAGGGAGCCTCCACCAAGCCTAGCAGGGGAGAGAGGGCCACAGCCTGGGATGGCTCCTACCTGGGCCTGCCCACTCTTGGAGGAACAGGGACAAACGGAGGAGGAAGAGAGCGAAGTGGCGGAGGAAGAGGAGCTGGAGGAAGAGTCCCGTCCCTGAGTCCTGCCTCTCTCTCGGACGACCTTCACTCAGCCACTCCCCATCCCTACTCCTCCTCCAGCGACCAATCCCAGGGACCAATCAAACGCCGGGGCTGCCGAAGAGGAGGGGCTCATAGCGAGCTTCGCCTAGCGTCCCACCGCAGCAGACAGGAACATCTGGTCAACGGGGGGTTCCCCCATCGGGGGGCCACAGAAGCCCCTCGACTGAGCATCACCAGCCCGCTGCTCCACAACGGCCCTGGTGAACCACCCGAAGACAGTAGAGGTCTACATGGACCTGGAGGGTTACTACCCGGAGGAGACCGAGTGGGGGAGGGAGTAGGGGCAGAGGGGACCCTCTCAGCGCCCCTCCTGGGCCCAGAGGACTGGGAGGAGAGGAGGCACCAGCTGCTCCTGCAGAAGCTGCAGCTGGAAGTGGAGAGAGAGCGGCTGCAGGCGCGGCTGGCCCAGCAGGAGGAGAAGCTGATCAGACAGAACCAGCATCTCCGACACACACGCCTCGACTACAGCAGGTATTAAATTGAATTACATTTTATACTGAACTAAAATATTAACTCAACATGCAACAATTTAAAATATTTTACTGAGTTACAGTTCAATAAGGAAATTAGTCAATTTAAATATATTCATTAGGCCCTAATCAATGGATTTCACATGACTGGGAATACAGATATGCATCTGTTGGTCACAGATGAAAAAAAATTAAAATAAATAGGGGCGTGGATCAGAAAACCAGTCAGTATCTGGTGTGACCACCATTTGCCTCATGCAGCGTGACGCACCTCCTTCGCATAGAGTTCATCAGGCTGTTGATTGTGGCCTGTGGAATGTTGTCCCAGTCCTCTTCAATGGCTGTGCGAAATTGCTGGATATTGGCGTGAAATGGAACACGCTGTCGTACGCGTCGTTCCAGAGCATCCCAAACAATGCTCAATGGGTGATATGTCTGGTGAGTATGCAGGCCATGGAAGAACTGGGACATTTTCAGCTTCCAGGAATTGTGTACAGATCCTTGCGACATGGGGCTGTGCATTATCATGCTGAAACATGAGGTGATGGTGGCGGATGAATGGCACTACAATGGGCCTCAGGATCCCGTCACGGTATCTCTGTGCATTCAAATTGCCATTGATAAAATGCAATTGTGTTGGTTGTCTGTAGCTTATGCCTGCCCGTACCATAACCTCACTGCCACCATGGGGCACTGTGTTCACAACGACATCTGCAAACCGCTCACCCACATGACGCCATACACGTGGTTGTGAGGCCGGTTGGACGTACTGCCAAATTCTCGAAAACAAGCTCTGGTGGACATTACTGCAGTCACCATGCCAATTACATGCTCCATCAAAAGTTGAGACCTCTGTGGCATAGTGTTGTGACAAAACTGCACATTTCAGAATGGCCTTTTATTGCCCCCAGCACAAGGTGCACCTGTGTAATGATCATGCTGTTTAATCAGCTTCTTGATATGCCACACCTGTCAGGTGGATGGATTATCTTGGCAAAGGAGAAATGCTCACTAACAGGGATGCAAACACATTTCTGCACAACATTTTAGAGAAATAAGCTTTTTGTGCAAATGGACCATGCATATTTCACCTCATGAAACAGGACCAACAATTTACATGTTGCGTTTTATATTTTTGTTTAATGTATTTAAAAAAAACATCAAACAGGGTTCTATACTAACTTTTTCACTTGATGGCACCAGCACATTGCACCAATTTTTAAAATACAAATATTGATAATTGATAATGACCTGTGCCTCCATTCCATAAAGAACCATGCTAGTAATGACTAGCCATCTTTAAAATGACCATGCCCTTGTATTCCTACATTGATTTGTGTAGAGTTACTGTAACATCAAACAAAAGTGCAAAATGTATTTATTGCAGATTTCAAAGTGCCATGTGTTCATTTCTTTGAAATCCTCTATAGAGGGCAAAACAAAAAGCGGGGAGGACTGTGATTTCCCCCAGTTTTTTTCAGGTTCTCGTTCTCAAAAACACGTTTTTTTAAATAGAAAAACAACTAAATTGGATGTTCCAAGTTCACAACAATGCTTAAACCACATTAGGGGACAATATTTTTTGAAACTCAGAGATATTTAGATTTTCTTTGTGTAGTTTACCCATTTAATTCAGGAATGCACCAACCAGACAGTTGTTTGGCTAGCTGTGCTTCTGCAGTGCAGTTGTCATGGCGTTTTCAAAACAAATGGCCACTGAATTTATGCAAATAATCATGATTCTGACAGGTAGTCATAGACTACTTTGTAGTTACCGTTTACGTGTGGATAGAAAGGCAATTAAAAGGTAAGGCCATCATTAGCATCGCTAACGGCTACACAAAGTGGTAGACATATAGGCCAATGATGTATGTTAACCCTGGATTGCTGATGCTATGTATTGGCCATTGAGAGGCTTTGAAGCCACCGGTCGGCCATTTTGGCACTCCCTAGTAGGATGGAATTCTACAGTATTTCAATAAAATGATTCAAGGACAGAATTACATGTATTTATGTTGTTGTAGTGGGGACAGTAACATTAGCGCTACCTATTAGTCATCTATTGTGTGTGTATATACAGTGCATTCGGAAAGTATTCAGACCCCTTGACTTTTTCCACATTTTGTTACGTACAGCCTTATTCTAAAATTGATTTAATTGTTTTTTTCCCTCATCAATCTACACACACTACCCCATAATGACAAAGCAAAAACAGAAATGTTTGCTAATTTATTAAAAATAAAAAACCCTTTACTCAGTACTTTGTTGAAGCACCTTTGGCAGCAATTACAGCATATAGTATTTTTGGGTATGACGCTACAAGCTTGGCACACCAGTATTTGGGGAGTTTCTTCCATTCTTCTCTGCAGATCCTCTCAAGCTCTGTCAGGTTGGATGGGGAGCGTTGTTGCACAGCTATTTTCAGGTCTCTCCAGAGATGTTCGATCAGGTTTGAGTCCGGGCTCTGGCTGAGCCACTCAAGGACATTCAGAGACTTGTCCCGAAGCCACTCCTGCATTGTCTTGGCTGTGTGCTTAGGGTCGTTGTCCTGTTGGAAGGTGAAACTTCGATCCTGACTAGTCTCCCAGTAACTGCCAATGAGAAACATCCCCACAGCATGATGCTGCCACCACCATGCTTCACCGTAGGGATGGTGCCAGGTTTCCTCCAGACGTGATGCTTGGCATTCAGGCCAAAGAGTTCAATCTTGGTTTCATCAGACCAGATAATCTTGTTTCTCATGGTCTGAGAGTCCTTTAGGTGCCTTTTGGAAAACTCCAAGCATGCTGACATGTCCCTTTTACTGAGGAGTGGCTTCCGTCTGGCCACTCTACCATAAAGGCCTGATTGGTGGAGTGCTGCAGAGATGATTGTCCTTCTGGAAGGTTCTCCCATCTTCACAGAGGAACTCTGGAGCTCTGTGAGAGTGACCATTGGGTTCTTGGTCACCTCCCTGACCAAGGCCCTTCTCCCCCGATTGCTCAGTTTGGCCGGGCGCCAGCTCTAGGAAGAGTCTTGGTGGTTCCAAACTTCTTCCATTTAAGAATGATGGAGGCCATTGTGTTCTTGGGGACCTTCAATGCTGCAGAAATTTTTTGGTTATTTTCCCTAGGTCTGTGCCTCGACACGATCCTGTCTCGGAGCTCTATGGACAATTCCTTCGACCTCATGGCTTTTGCTTTGACATGCAGTGTCAACTGTGGGACCTTATATAGACAGGTGTATGCCTTTCCAAATCATGTCCAATCAATTGAATTTACCACAGGTGGACTCCAGTCAAGTTGTAGGAACATCTCAAGGATGATCAATGGAAACAAGATGCACCTGAGCTCAATTTCGAGTCATTTAAAAAGATCCATTTTAGAATAAAATGTGGAAAAGGTCTAGGGGTCTGAATACTTTCCGAAGTATACAGTGCCTTTTTGCAAATGTATTAAAAATAAAAAACAGATACCTTATTTACATAAGTATTCAGACCCTTTGCTATGAGACTTGAAATTGAGCTCGGGTGCATCCTGATACCATTGATCATCCTTGAGATGTTTCTACAACTTGATTGTGGTAAATTCAATTGATTGGACATGATTTGGAAAGACACACGTCTGTCTATATAAGGTCCCACAGTTGACAGCGATGCTGTAATCGCTGCCAAAGGTGCTTCAAAGAAGTACTGAGTAAAGGGTCTGAATACTTATGTAAATATAATATTTTATTTTTAATACATTTGCAAAAAAAAATGCCTTGTCATTATGGGGGATTGTGTGTAGGTTGGTGAGAGGGGAAAAATCAATTTAATCCATTTTAGAATAAGCCTGTAACGTAACAAAATGTGAAAAAAGTCAATACTTTCCGAATGCACTGTAGATCATTTGATATAGGCCCTGCGCGCACCGCACACAGCAGGAATCGACATTCAGGTAAATTTACCAGTGGCACACTGGGCCAGTGCCAAGTCAAAGGTACTGGACAGAATGGGGGGAGATTTTTTTTTTAACCTATATATAATTGTTGTAATAGCCTAAAGAAAAACAACTCCACCCAAAATGTATGCTAAGAAGTATGCATTACCACTTCAATGCATTTTTTTTATAGGCCTACCCAATGGCATTATGCACTGACATTGACATTATTTTTACGTTCTAAAATATGTCAGAATAACGTGAGCGTTGCCTGACTAATTAGACATGCTCCCGACACAAACACACAAATTAAGTCTGTCCATGTGGTAAATAGTCAGTCTCGCTATTAGAGATGTTGAAGAGTTATTGAGGACCAAAGAGCCTAGATTTTCAATGTAAGCTATTCCATGATGACTGACTTGCGCATTGCAAATATTCAACCAAGACTTTGAACTTTTTAAATACCGTACCTGGTTTGCATACCCATTCTTGCCTTAGCATTTACTGGTAAATATCATAACTTGGAACATATTTCTTACTGCTTTCCTACCCCTACCGCTGTCGGTCTTCGCTCCACCAACAACCAGATGTTTGACAGTTGCGCACTCCCTCTGCCCAACAGATGATCTATAGGCTTATATATGAACGAACAGCTTCGGGAATCCCATCTGTTTTTTAAATCAATTACAGTACCGGTGAAAAGTTTGGACAACTATTCATTCAAGGGTTTTTCTTTATTTTTACTATTTCAAATCAAATCAAATGTTATTGGCCACATGCGCCGAATACAACAGGTGTAGACATTACAGTGAAATGCTTACTTACAGCCCTTAACCAACAATGCATTTTTTTTTTTTTATAAAAAATTGTAATAACAACAAAAAAGTGTTGAGAGTAAAAAAGAGCAGAAGTAAAATAAAATAACAGTAGGGAGGCAATATACAGTGAGGGGAAAAAAGTATTTGATCCCCTGCTGATTTTGTACGTTTGCCCACTGAAAA